GTGTTAATCGCTTCTCGTTACCCCACGTATACTACACGATGCACGACGCACGATGAAGGCCAAAATCGGGCCGATCGCCAAAACGGTCGCACGGCTCAAAAATCGGCTCAAAATGGGCCAAAAATCGCACAGTGTGAGCCCGGCATTACAAAGGAGAACCACTAAACACTTATGCAGCTGAAAGAAAACATAAAAACATGCCGGTAGTTTTCATACAAATGACAACAAAACAGCAGGATTTAATTTGATGCTCCACAAGTGTTGAGTCTAGTCTAGCAGGATCTGGTTCAGCATCAGTTTGTAACAGTCTCTTATGTTGTAACACCTAATGTGTAAAATTTCCAATTGTAGGGGCTTGTGCTTTATCACATTTATGCACTTTTACAGACTTTTACTTTGACTTAGACTCACTCTTCTGCACTCAGTATCAGTCCCTACCGTGCAGGCATTTAAAGTTGGTGGTTTTTGCTGTTTTACTTTTTCTGATGTTTCTTATTTACACCAGTTGGTGCATTAAAGCTAAGTTGGAGACAAAAAACAGGCACATGTACATCCATAGTTTCTTTTTTTTTTTTTTTAAACTTCCCAGGGATCCCCACTTCCTCTCAGCCCACCATGACCGTGACTGCACAGCGCCGGCAGCCACCGGTGGTGCCGCTCACCCTAACCTCTGACCTCCATCTCCAACAATCTCCTCAGCAGCTCTCACCCACCCTTTCCTCACCAGTTAGCATTACACAGGTAAGGATTAATTAAAATTGTCCAAGGTATTTGGACCAAAAATGGATGAAGTCAGAAATTTAAAAAGAGTTATTGCACTTGCATCCCGATGTGTTGAATTTGAAACAAATGAGTGTCATCACTTACTGCAAAAAGAGGTCACATTATATTGACCCTTAAGGATTTTTCACATTAGTTTATGGTGTCGTTTCAAGTCTTTTTCCATTAATGATTAATTATATTTTGTAGGTTTTGTGCACAGAATAAATTACAGAATAAAATACTGCATTTTAGGATATGCTACATTATGGTCAAACTCTCATTGGTTCAGTATTTGTTTATGTCCAGATAGTCATCAGTAGAAAGGAGGAGTGTGGCTTTACAAAGTCAGGCATGAGAGAGCAACAGAGTCGGTATTGTAGGGAGGCCATGGTGGATGAGCGTGACACATTTACATATTTATCAGCTTAGTTGATCTTTCTGTTTTTTCCAGTCTTCATTTGCAGTCTGGTTAAGTTAAAGAAACACTACATGGCTATGTTGATTTTAGCAGGAAGATAAAACTTTTACTTTGAAGGAGACTTTTCACAGTTCCAGTTGAGTCTTTGCAGTCAAGTCGGCAAATTGCAGGCATGTGCCGAAGACCAAAGCAATCGCAAGGAGGTTGTTGGTGCAGCACTGTACAATTCTCTGCAGATAATTTCACCTGGTACTTTCAACTGGTTCGAGAATACATACGTTTCCTTATCAGCTAGAGGTTGCCAGGGGGGTCGCTAGGCTCTAAGTGACTAAAATCATCTGCAGTAATGTGTTCCTATGTGTAAATAGCACTGTTGGATGCTGACAACAGGCTCGTAATGATATCTGTGTCTTTGTCCTTATGCTTTTAGTACAGATCCATAAATTGCAGTGCTTTTGAAACGTCAAGCTGTATACTAATGAGTATTCAACACATACCAGGTGGTTAAAGATAAGATAAAACATTTAAACACCACACCCCTACCCTCCAGTTCATGCAGCAGAAATCACTGCTACTTGGACTAATTTATCCCCATCGTTCTGCAGGTCATGCCAACAGAGTCATTGACCCTGGAACAGCAGCTTTCTCAGTACCCTCTGTTCAACCAGCTGACAGCTCAGGCTCAGGCTCAGCTGATCAGTGACCTCCAGAAGCAGCAGGCCCTGCCACAAGGCATCCAGCTCATTACCTTGCCAACTCTGGCCTCCGCTGGTACAGCGTCTGCCACTGCCAGCAGTCCCTCACCAGACAGCCAGACCACTGGCAGCATGAGCATCAGCTCGGTAAGATGCAGTTTAACAAGAACGTGGAAGCTTAGATAAAAATCTGATGACATGATTGAGATAATTTTGCTTATTTTTAAGCTGCTGTTTATTTTACCACTTTGATGATGCTACCCTAAATACATCGCAGTAAATATCTGCACATCCTTTCTATGCTAATTTATTTCTAATTATATAGATTAACTTAGCTAAGAAGCATAAACACATATTACTCTTTGCTACAAGATGTCACTGTAAAGTTGTTTGATGTTAACATCTTTGTAAATGATGGTTTATAAAAAAAGGAAATATGCATTTGGCCATTCTTTAAAACACAACTGTTTTTTATTGAAGTAGTCAAAAACCTTTACCCTAACCTAACTGAACATTGCCCAGTCTCTTCAAGAACATCCTGGATCACTTTAAGCCCAGCTGGTATTTTATTTAGTTGGTTTACCTGGAACTCTTTTTCTGCCTCCCTTTCATTTGTAAATGGTTGGACTAGATGGACTACACTAGACTAGGTGTTTTGTTTTTCACTGTTGAGTGCTCAAAGCACAGACTTTGAACTTGCCTGAACAGTGCATCAAACTTGTGTTTCTTTAACTTGATTTTTTAAGGAGTCAAATTTAACAGGAGGAAGTGATCCCAAACATCCCGGACTTCACTATAGTCTATTCTAGCTTATACCACATTTGCACATGCAAATGTACATTTCCATGCGGGCTCCCACACATATTCCACAGTGGCGACTTTTGAAAATTTCCTTCCTGGAAAATGTGGCTTTAGGTGTAAACAGCTGAAAACATATATGTTGTGGAAACCTACGTAGTACCTAGTTCTCTTCAACACCGATAATCATCCACAAACAAAACATCCACACATTTGAGCTTGAAATAGAAGTTGATGAAAAGGTCAGAACAACATTTCCAGAGAGCGATGTAAAAATTGAAGCATTGCTGAAAGTGATCCAGAGATGCACTCAGATATGATTTTAAATGCTTAATATATCAAAGTTTAATCAGCTAAGGTCTTTGATTTCCATGGACTAGCTTCCTGAGCTTTTTAGTCCTACCTCATATGTTTTGAGCAGACCCTAAGTTGATGCCTTCTCACATGTCATCCTTTTTAGACTTGTGTGTGACAGGCTTAGTGCTAGCTAACCCTCTTCCCTCCAACAGTACCGCAATCAGACTGGCTCACCAGCCACTCAGTCTCCAACCTCCCCAGTCTCCAATCAAGGCTTCTCCCCTGGAGGCTCACCTCAAGTAAGGGCCCACCCACCGAGCTACCTGCTGTTTGGGGAAGGGCTTTGCTCCTGGGGGAAAGCTAATTGTAGAGAGTTAGGCTGCTTTTCATTCACTGTATCCACACTTAATCACTCATGGTGTCAACAGCTGCATAGCTCATTTCTTCATCAGCACTGTCATCGTTCACAGCGTGCATGGCAACATATTGATAGCCTGTTGATGGAGGCTCTGACACTTTGTAGCCTTAAAGTATTCATCTTGTATCCTCAACCATTACAGTTTCTCACATGTAATTCACCCAAACTATATTCTCTGTGTCAGATATATTCTGAGGACAGTCTTGGTTTGTTCGTTTTTTCATGGGTGGGGGACATGCCAGGCTGGAGCATGTAGGTGGCAAAATACGTACGTGCAGGAAAAAAATATCTGCTTTGTTGTCACATAGTCAGGTCATCATCATGCAAACTTTATGCTAGGGAGATAACCTTGTTGGCCTAGCCCAGGGGTAGGCAACTCCAGGCCTCGAGTGCCGGTTTTAGATGTATCCTTGATCCAACACAGCTGATCCAAATTGCTAAATGACCTCCTCAACATGTCTTGAAGTTCTCCAGAGGCCTGGTAATGAACTAATCATTTGATTCAGGTGTGTTGACCCAGGGTGAGATCTAAAACCTGCAGGACACTGGCACTCGAGGCCTGGAGTTGCCTACCCCTGGCCTAACCGTTCCATCCCAGTGATTTGAACATTTACTCTGTAACACAGTGTCGGTGTAGTTTTTTTTTAAAAGGCAGTTTAATTACAGTTAGTTTCCAGAACATGCATCCTTGTTTCATCTTTATTGTTTTTTTTTATTATTTGAAACCGTGGAAGGGGATCTTATGTTGTTTGGCTCTGTTTTGGACTTTATATGAAGACAAAGACTAGATGTAAAGCTCACAGGGGCTAACAGAGGCTAACATCAGGTAACAGAGGCTAACAGTAGCTAAATGAGGCAAAAACAGCATTGCTACCAACAGTTCAGCATATTCTCAACAGCTCACTTACTATGTGGAGACAGTAATCCATGGATGCCACTTGTAGTATCAGTAGCATTTTATTCACTACCCCTGCTAACTACATATCTGTGTTCAGTTCAGCTTTATTTATATAGTGCCAAATTACACCAACGAATGCCTCAAGGCACTTTCTACTGTAAGGTAAATCCTAGGTAGGTTTGTATACTCAATGAGCCCAGACAACTTTCTAAATATACCAGAATATAATAAATATTATTTAAAAAAAAAAAAAACTTTATCTTTTTTGCACTGGAGTCCCTACAGTGGTGGTGAGTTGAGTGTTGCCACGGTAATGTGATGACAACAACCCATCTGAATTAGTTTTTGTCTTGATCTGGGCTGTCGTGGTCCTATCTACGAGGATGGGACAAACTGAAGCACCCTGGTTGTTTGTCATTTATAATAAAACTGTAAAGTGTGCTTTCAATTTTAATAATAAACGAATCATTAAAGAGTGGCGCTATTACATCTTCTGTTAGCCTCCTCTTTTTGTGTTTAACCATGACAGTCGTGGTCACGAGGTCCATTTGCTTTGCTCGCTGCTCACTCTGACAGCTGTGACTTTGTGTGCTGCTTGTGTTTTTTGTTACTCCATCGCTGAAAGTGTCTGCTTGTGAACTCAGATATTTTCTCTCTCTGTAAAGATTTGTGTTATTATTGTAGCCGCTGCAATGGTGTATTTCTCATATATATTTTTGGGGGTTGTTTGTGTTCCTCCAGCACATCCCCGTGGTGGGCAGCATATTCGGCGACTCCTTTTATGATCAACAGCTGGCATCGAGGCAGACCAACGCTCTCTCTCATCAGGTGACACGTAACGTTAAGTAAAAGGTTTTCTTTAGATTCTCTCTGACTTCAATGTGTGTAACGCGTACAATTGTGCTTTTTAGCTCGAGCAGTTCAACATGATCGAAAACCCCATCAGCTCCACCAGCCTTTACAACCAGTGCTCCACCCTCAACTACACGCAGGCAGCCATGATGGGGCTCACTGGAAGCAGCCTACCCGACTCTCAGCAGCTCGGCTACAGCAGCCACGGCAACATCCCCAACATCATCCTAACAGGTAGCCACAGCACCTGTGTGCGTTTGCCCTTTGATACATTAAAGGTTCTTTGCATAAATGCCAAGCATCCGTCAAAACATCGGTGATGAGCAATAAACGAGGCCCCCCTGCGCTGGTGTGTTGCACATGACTGAGATTTCAGTCAATATACGCTCTATCTGGGCTAAGGTAAAGAAGTCTAAAGGCAACTGAGCCGAAACTAACAGCACCTTCGCTTTTTGCAGAATTCTCCAGAGACCATACGAGGGAACAACTTCTTTTAGACACTTCCACATTTTACTAAATTGCCAAAATTTCTTGTTTTATACACTTCTATCATCCAGTCTAATAAACAACACCAAATATGAGTCAATAGCAGAATAACCTGTACGTCTGTGCAGAGTTGGTGTACTATAACCATAGTAAACCTTCCAGTGACTTGAACGTTTGCTTTTGGGTTTTAAAGGTACTTTGCAAATCCACTTGTGCAGTAGTTCTAAAATAGGATCTCTGTGGTAGGGAACCATGTAGAAATACTTGTTCCAATTTAGCTTGAATCAGTAGAAATGCTAACCCGATTCTTGCCAGGCGTGCACGTTTTTCTCAGCGCTTGTATTTCTCAGTCACAGGTGAGTCTCCGCCAAGCCTGTCCAAAGAGCTGACCAACTCTCTTGCGGGCGTTGGCGACGTCAGCTTCGACGCAGATTCTCAATTCCCTCTGGACGAGCTGAAGATCGACCCGCTCACCCTGGACGGACTGCACATGCTCAACGACCCCGACATGGTGCTTGCCGACCCCGCCACCGAGGACACGTTTAGAATGGACAGGCTGTGACGTGAAGAAAAAGAAAACTCGTTAACGGAGAGAACCAAAGGGCAGGATGATCCCTCTTCCTCGTTGCATGGCCGTCCAGCTGTCCGACTTTGCCCTTTGAAACAATGCGGCACCAAAAGACAACAGGGGGGAAAAAAGACATCCAGCGGCTCGCCGGGGGGATTGCCTCGCTGTCGTTTTGAATGAGATTGGTCGCTCAGCGCTTTTGCTAGCCTACGGTGTTTACAGTGTACCATTACATGCCACATATATTCCAAAAACGCACATTTGGCGGTTTTCTTTTCTTTTCATATCTGCTTTATTATTTATTTTGTTGATATTTGCTTGTAGCAGGAAGCTGCTAGGACATTGGGCGAAACTGCACCCGATATAAGCGGCCGTGTTTTTAAGAAAAAAAAAAGCGAGGAAAAAGAAACCGAAAAAAACATGGTCGCTTTGCTCATACCGTGCAATGAAAAAGAACGGTTTTCCCATCATGCCATAACGGCTTTCTATTTCACACTCAAAGCTTTATTTTTGACAACCAAATGTTATTTTCATTGTGTACTTGTATGTTTTTATGCTTCATCTATTTATATGTTCTATTTATTTATTTGGTTAAAGATTTTATATTCCATTTCATAATTTCAATTTGATGCCAAAATGTTTTCTGTAGGCATCGTGTAATATTGCACTGATGTAATTTGTGTCTATTTATTGATTACTAACATATTTATAAATGTGTTTATTAAGCTATTTTTGGTTTATCGAGGAGTGCAAAACCTCCCCATAGTTGCCCTTCGGTGTTCAGTGTGCCATTTTCTGATGTAAGATGTGGCGACCGTTAACCATGCTGCAGCCCAACAGTCCAATCCAAATACGACAGGTTTTTTTAGCACCGCTCCAAAAAATGCTGCGTGCTCCGGAAATGCGTTGGCTTAAAGCCACACACGTGATCTTTAACTGAGAAAAATCATCAGGAAGAAAAACAGAAGCATCTAAATTTATTTTCTCCTGATGAAAAGCCAGAATACATACATATATACACGTTCAGGCCGACCCTCTTCTCAGTGAAGGAAGGTGTCTGTTTTTAAACCAGAGATCACTGAAATCTTTTAAAGTCGTCACTGTGAAATCACCTGATTTTGCCTTACGGGAGTATTCTACTGTTCTTCTTAAGTGTCTAACGTGACAGCGTATTTTCGTAACTTACTGTAACGTTTTCTCGTATTTGAGAGAAACTTTTGGTCAGTGATGTTTGTGGTTATGTTGTGTAAGGTTTGACAAATCAATGTACTGTATTTTGTAGCGGTACACTTTATAGCCAAATTGTTGGATGTTTTCTAAAGCGGGGCAAAAACGAGAAAAAAAAAGTCAAAGGCGGGTTTGAAGTGTTCAAGATGGAGCGCAATTGTGGGGAGGCTTTTTGCTCCTTTACAGGGAAGCTCTAACAAAAACGCAGCTGACTCGACGCGTGGGTATTTCTTACTGAACTACTTGGTTTTCATAAGCTCCACGCTTCTAGTTTATGAGAGGATGGGATAAAGTAGACAAAGTAGAATATGGCTATATAAATCTATTTATAGTAAGTAAGTATAGTAAGTATTGTGTGCAATCTGATTTTTCTGCAACCAAATGAACACCACACAGACTCACATCATTTGAATACGCAGACAGACTTTAAGGGGTCGGTCGGCACGCCTAAATCTTTTGTCAGAGTTTCCCTGAGAGTCACGTGCAGTCTGTGGGATCATGTTTGTTATATTGTAACGTTTGTGTACAGATGTGCTAATATTTTTACTCACAGCGCTGATGGGAAGAGTTCCCAAATCCCCCTTGCTGAAAAAAGAGAAAAAGGAATCACGTTTGGTTTACCTCTACAGCTGGACGGTTCGTCTCAGTTGAAGTGTTTTCTTGTCTGCTGTAAACTTCCATCAACGGTTTTTGTTTGCCTTCAACGGGCCTGTGATTCCTATGCAAAATGAGACAAATAAGATGCTTGAAGGAAAAATCCACCTCTGGTGTTTTATTAGCTAACAGAGTTTGCACGTTAAGCTGGATTTATTCTTCTTTTTGCAGGCGAGCAAGCAGCGTGACTCTTATATTACAGACGGTAGACTTTGGAGATGTCAATTTTATTTTAAAGAGAAACATTATTGCAGATTAAAATGGAACCTAAAATGTCAAACATGGTAAATGTCGTGCAGGCCGTATAATATTTTAAGACTTTAAGGGCTTTGTAGTTTATGACAGAATTAAAAATCACCTCACTTAAAAACTGGAATTGTGCGGCATCTCTTTTAAAGACTAAACATCGTGGCTCTACGCCAGAAAACTGACACTATTGGAAGTGTGCGCGTGTATGATGTTGTAGTGTGTCGTGGTGGTGCTAATGACAATCAACAAGTGGAATACAAATTCATTTCGATACCAGAGAAGCATAAATCCAGCTTAATTTTGAAGTTTTGGCCTCAAAAACTGTAAATCGTGATTTAATTACCTGAATCTTCCTCTTCGTCCTGTGCGACTGTTGAACATGGTGCAAAATTGCTGCTTTAGAAAGACACCCTTTGCCCCTGACCCTAAATGAACCCGTGTCAAACGTTTGCATTACCCACAGGACGAAGAAAAATGCGACACACACTAATTCTGCTTCGTGTAAAGCAGCTAACGTTGGATTTTTCCTTCAAGCCTCCGAAACAAAGGTGTAGAAAACACACTCTACGGATTACATTTCCAAAGGTCTGTGTACCTAAAAGATATTAAGCGTCACGTGCACTGTCGTGCTGCCAATAACGCCAGTGATTTGAGCTTTCCTGCCATCCCCTTTCTTTCGTCCTGCTGAAGTCATTGATTCACTGACCTTGTACATATGCTATAGCTGAAACAAAATGCATGACTTACCTGACAGTCAAAACCTCTAAATGAAGGCCTTCTATAGCTCTGCAGGTTTGATTTGTGTAACGTAACACTACCACAAAGTCTAAAGGGATGCATGTAAGGGTTTTTCCTGTTCAGTGACTCTGTTACCTCCATCTATGTACAATGCTACTTGATGAATGATAAAAGAATGTATTTTAAGTGGCAGTGTCCTAGTTTTAACCCTTTGCCAAATGAACCCAACGATGTTTGGTGCGTTTGGTCCGTCACTGACGGCGACCAGGCTTCCATTTCTCTCTGCACTCTTTCATTTGCCCCTTTTCTCCTTTTAAGGAATCAGACTGTTGCTTGTTCCACGCTTTCTCCTACTACTGTAGCATCTCTCTGCGTACGAGTGTAAAGCGGTCCCTTCTTGTATAGAAAGACCTTGCAGTCGTTCCGGCCCTCTCCTTGGCTTTGTTGATGCGGGATCCGTCCCGTGGAAGTTGCAGATTGGCACGTGCGCTGATCGTTTGCATATGTGAACTTGACTCTTCTGACGCTTCTGTGTTACGCAGTCAGCCGCATGACATGATAGACACGTCGAGCAGATTATTATAAAATGTTATGTGCAGGACTTTAAACTCGCTATGCTGAAGTGGAGTGCTTCTCAAGACACCGGATATGATAGTTTTTGTTGTTGTTGCCTATCATGTCACGTTCTGGACTGGGTAAAATGCAACTGTGTGTGTTTGGTTTTTTTTTATTTTCTTGGTTTCTTTCTTTGTTTTGTTTTTTTGTGTATGTGTGTGCAATGTTTAGTCCACTGGTTGCTTCGCACTTTATTTGTGATTTCCTGGCTTTTGAGCAGAGACTGTTCTGCCTGACGTGAATGCTGACTGTTTCACACCAGATGTATACTCCGGAAATATTTTCATGTCAAAGAAAAGATGAATTCTCTATTTTCCTTTGTAAACTATATTTTGGCTTGTCTTGTTTTTTAATCTGTGAAGATCTTAGGGGATGCAAAACTAGAAAGGGCTTACTCCAGTGCAGCTTGTGTGCTTGTGTTGGAAAGGATAAGCATTCCGAATGTGTTTCTTTGTTGGTCACACCACACACACACACATACACACACACACACACACACACACTGATTCAAACACTAATTAGCTACATATGTCACAGTCACACTAGAGTAAACAGTGGTTTGAAAGTGGTATGCAAGCACTCAGAGTGCGTTGCCATCCTCACAGGAACTTATTGCTGTTAAGATGGCTTCAGGATGGTATGACTTTGCGATTCACATTAGGCATTTAGAATCTAGTGAGAACCTCAGCGATATGAACAGAATACAAACAGTTTGCAACCAGCTGAGTCGAGCCCACTGTGGCAACTCACAGATGAGTTGTGCTCATCGCCGCAGACCGACTCAGATTGATTGCACTGTGGTGGCAGTTTTGGCTGCATTTGAAAATTAGAGACCGATTGCCCCCCACAAGGCGATCTGTGCAGAGGTGGTGTGCGGTCAGCCTCGGGTGCAACTAATTACGGTTGGTCTCCGACAGAAAATAAATAAATAAGTCAATGCATTCATGGGGCAACCACCAATTTTCCTTTTCTAGGCGCAAGGAGGTTCCATCCTGTTTTTACTCTACTGTGACTGAGCCATTAAATACATAAGCTGCCAGCAACAGTACTGCAACACAGTCTGACTTTACTCTAGTAGCTAAAACTCGAAACTACAGGTTTGTCATATTTTTTCCTGTCTAAAATATCCACCCACAAGCCTAACAGTTAAAACAAGAACATGTACTAGAGAGGAGCTCGTGCTGAACTCACACCACTTAGAAACTGCTGATGAGGTGTGTTAACGCCTTCTTCGTGGTTTTATCTAAAAGTAATTATAACTCTGGTAATAGACTTGACTTCATGCAAGGCAGCTAACACTTTAGTTTAAAATTAGTAAAAGAGACTAAAAATGTCAGGTTTGTTGATCAGATTTGAAGTAATTTCACAAAATAGGCCGATCCTGAGACGACATGGTGAAATGCAGAGAGCTGGAGGTCCATTTATTTCAAACATAAGATGCACAGGTCATCTGAAAATGTCTTTTTATGTCTGATACACTGTTTAGTTTTGAGACTTTTACTTATTTTAGTCTGAGACGTCACTTACTTGAGGTACTTCTCGGCACAGCCCGTTCCCTTTTTTTGCCATAAAAAGGCACAAACTGCATTTTTGTCACAAACTGAAAAAAGTTTGATGAGTGATGCTCAAACAGGAGCGTGCGATTAAAGGTGTGCCCTCAGTCCCAGAATACAAGGAAAGAGTTGCTGCTTGGTCTGTACTGCTTGTTCCCAGAGACTTTAGGTTTGACTCAAATGTCCCTTTAATAATATGGGGTTTTATAAATGACTCTACAGTTAATTAAAATGTGTAAACAAAAATAAAAAAACAGAGTTTAAGTTCCACTTAAAGCTTCTAGTGAGAATAGCATTATATCACTGTTGTCCTGTAAGTCGTAGTAACAGAACTGTAGTTATTAATTGGTGCCAAGGGAATCCCCTTCCGGGAACAATTGGTTAAAAAAAAAAAAAAGTCAAATTAAATTGAATGTGGAAGACAGATTTTTCTCTGCACATAGTCTTGATTTGCAGAATATGCCGATTAAAAAGAAACTGTCCAGTGTCGCATCACAGCGTGTTGCTGTGGACATGCATGATGTTTCGACCCTGTTGTATATTGTCTTTGCTATTGTTTCTATTTTGTAATCTGTATTTCCAAATGCAAATTTAAAAGATTATTTTGGATATGTGCATGCTTGTGACTTGTTCAGAATGTTAATTTCCACTAAAAGCTGTTGAGTTTGAAAACAAAAAGCAAGTCAAGTCTGTTACTTAAAATCACATGTTCGGCTTGTTCCTGTTTACTAACATATAATACCTATAAAGCCAATTTTAAATTGAATGATCATTAACGTAATTTTATTAAAGGAAATGTAATTTACCTTCCTCTGTTATAGACTGTGCTATAAAACTTCTCGGTCAGAGAAGTCGAGCTGATTCTTAAGTGCTTTAAACTTGCATTATTTCTAATGACCAGCAGGGGGCGATTCTTCTCAATGCTAAAATTAGCCAATTTGTATAGAAGTCTCTAAGAAAAATGACCCTACTGCTCACTCGATTTATGCCCACAGTAAACAGTTTACTCATAAATGTATTGTTTCAGTTGCTAGCTTCAGGTTCTCTTCAATACAATTTAATTTTTATTTTGTAAATTATTTACCCATTTAGAGTAAAATTGAGAAAAAAGCATAGCCTGCTTTGGGGAGTGACTACATTGTCATATACAGATCCCTTATGGTGAATGTCCAGTGTCTTAATGACATCTAGTTTAAAGCAAAAAACAAAAAAACAAGATGGTAAGCGCTAAAATACCCAAGTGGATGCATCTAAACAGGGATATTAGATGCATGTTTGATATCCATGGTTTCAGTATGCACAGACATCAAATTCCCACACAACAACAACATTTATTCATTAGTGACAGTCCAATCTTTTCAAGTGGTTTTTCTGAAGTGGAAAATGTTATATAATTTTTAATCTAACATTATACCACTTCCCTTTGAACACATATTACCGTTGCTCTGCAGCACAATCAATCAATTTTCACTGGAGACATTTCCAACACTTATGTTGGATTTTTAATTAAACTTTTATCGCCGTGATGATCCTCTTTCTGAGATCCAGCTGTGCATTGGGCCTGTTTGTTGTCATCAGGCTACCAGCTGGACCTGCTGGGCTCTGTAGGCATCAAAATCCTCTGGAAGAGTGTCTGAAGAAACACAGTGGAAAGCTAGTTCACAATTCAGTTTGAAAAATCACACATTTGTGGCAGCATTCATGGCTCTGCTAATAATAGCATACTTCCAGTCAGTGCATAACTGTGTGACAAAAACACACCAAATAACCAAGTTAGCCAACATCAGACATGACTGGCTTCAAAAGCTAGCAGGGCACTTGGAGAGCGAATCCTCTGCAAGGTAAAAGCAATATTTTTCATATTTAGGAAAGTGTTCTAAATATAGCCACTAAAACTGAAATGGCTTATGTTTGATTGCTTTGTGAAATTTGGCTCGGTATTTCCTGCTGACAAAGAAACAGTTCTTTCCTTGGCAGAGGAACATTGTTGAATAAATGAAAAGCGCTCCGTGGGTGCAGTCCAGCCTTTCAACTCTTCTGAATGTTTCACTCACCATTGCAGCGATAACGCAGGTTGGCCCAGATAATGTTCTCCTGGGAGAAGCAGAAGACTCCCAGTCGGCCTCCTCTCATGGTCGCGTCTATGATGACGCCCGTGTCCGCTACCATTTGAGTGCCCTCGTAGAAACGAACTCTGCAAACCGACAAAGCGCAGCAAGCAACATTGCATTAACAAAGTGTCAATAACACTTGCAGAATTACATTTTATAGCTGATTCTTTTTCTCTAGCACCACCAATGTATTCAAATTTTTACTTTTATTGAAATATTTATAAAACTGTTGCATGTATTCACTGTACATGTTCATCTATTCTCGACTACATGCCTCTGGCACTATCATGTTGAGAAAATGTTTCCACTGACACACAGATGTTTCCACACATTTGACTATGACACACGTACATAAATACACACAAGTTTGCATGGATATCTTTGGAAGGCCCCTTATAGTAACCGTAACCATCCCGGCTACATATATAAGCCGGGCGATCGTGGCTCAAAGAGTTGGCAGTTCGTCTTGTAACCGGAGGGTGGCGGTTCAAGCCCCGGCTCGGACAGTCTCGGTCGTTGTATCCTTGGGCAAGACAATTCACCGATGGCGCTTGCCTCCACCAGTGTGTGAATGAATAGTGGAATTGTATGGCCCCGAAAAGCGCTATATAAATGCAATCTATTATTATTATAACCACAACTTAAAAACCTCATTCTAATTTTAGGCCTAAAGCAGGACCTAAACCTTTAACCCGGCCTTTGAAGGTGTGTCACGGGCCCAGAGATCCTCACTTTTTCAAAATATTTTAATTTGCTGTCCATGATCGACAGCCGTTTGTTCAGTGATCTCTTGTCCCTCATTGGCTCAGATGTCTCCAGATTCTGGCCAGTGATGGTTCCAGCATTGGGGATTAATTTGTTGATCCTGCTGGCATCTCTGGCACTGATACTCATGATTACTCAGTTTTGTTGATCAGACCGCACCCATCTCACACAGACGCACACCTGTCACACTTTCATGCTGAGAAAGTATTTTCACAGGCACAGAGACATTTCCACATATTTGACTATGACACACCCAATAGATAAATAAATACAAAACCTTTGTCTAGCCCCTTATCGTACTCTTAACCATCCCATCTATATATTAAAACCTTATTCTAATGTTAAACCTAAAGAAAATCTCAAGGTCCTCAGTTTTTCAAAATGTCCCCAATCTAATGGTCCAATGCTCAAACTGGTCCTCACTAAGATGATTAAACAAATATACACACACACTCTCTATCATAAGATGAATGTTATTTTCCAGCCTGTGGCTCATACAAAACATCAGCGTTAATTGTGTGTCACGGTACCTGATGTAGCCGTCAGCAGGCCGGTGCTGGAGGAACCAGCGGTACGAGGTCTTATCTTTCCAGCCAACATTGCGAGCGTCTTTCCACAGGAGCTTCACCTGATCGGTGGTGTCGCCCGTGTGCCACAAAGCGTTCCGCAAGTTTTCACCTGGACCTGTGTTTGATTTCACTGCCTTAAGAAGAGTAAAAAAGGGATAACATGTTTGCGATCACATTTTGTTTATGTTTTCTTTATTATAGATTAGTTCACAACTCATATGTTTGTATGCCTCTAGTAAATCTACAGATTATCAACAAATTTACTACCATTTTCTGACCATGGCAACTAAAATTGTTTTTAAGGTTTAACTGGTTGGTTGTAAGCCACAAGGCAGTGAAAATAATCGTCTTTTAGCTCATTATTTCATTATGGACACTTCTTCAAATGGACTGTGCTGCAAAACCTTGACCCTATAAAGCATTTAAACCATAGATTAAATATTAATACAACTACTAGTTACAGCTCATAGTCTCTTTATGACTAATCCGTTATCCTGAAGTGGAGCTGGAATTTCTTGCAAACAATACGGCAGTGACATACCTTCAGTTGGATTCCTGGTTCTGCCACGGCTCTGAACGGGTTTGCCTGCCAGTAGATCTGCTCCACCTGCTTCCACATCACCACGTAGAAGCTGGAGCTGTCCTGGTACGCAAATATAAAACCTGCATAGTCGTCGTCCGTTACCGTATTAACATGAAATGTTCCTTCAAAATCTACTCCGCTGAAAGCCGTGTAACCTGCAGGACAAATTATTTCACATCAGATTTGGTTTTTAAAATGTAGCATAGACGTTTAGCTCTATGTGCAGTAAATTAAAGCAACAGCCACGGGCCTGTTAGTAGGTGAATTTGGTTTCCTTTAAACAAATCCATGCCATTTTCGGTCATTTCAGATGGCAGTTTAATATTTATATTTTATATTTTCTTGAAATGTCAAACAGTTTTTTACCAACAGCCAATCCAGGATCGCTGTTCATAGTCTGGACGATCTCTCTTCCCTGTACAAACAGAACAGTGGATTATAGAGAAATGTTATTTCATGACAAGTTATTCTGGCAAAAAAGTAGAACAGCAAAAATCAAAGAAGCCATAATCGCTTGACCTGGTTCAGCACCACCCAGTTAGGATCGATTTGTGCGTCTCCTTCTGGATCTAAAACGACTGTCTGGTACTCCCTGAAGTCAGTGAGGGTGACCTCTGCGTTTTCTGGACAGACGTCTATTGGGTCAATTATGGTGTCGTTGTCGAAATCCTTCTCACATACATTACCCACGCCGTTACCTGGGAGGATAGGTAGATATTAGGCGTAAGTAAAGCACAAACTTTTATTTTAATATGTCAACACACACCGTCAGAGTCCTCCTGTAGAGGGTTGGGGATCAGACGGCAGTTATCAGGACCAGGTGGCAGCAGGTCTGGGATCCCATCGTTGTCATCGTCATCATCACACTCGTCTCCCTTTCCATCTTTGTCAGTATCCAACTGAGAGCTGTTGATGACAACTGGGCAGTTGTCCCGAGAGTCTTGGTGACCATCGCCATCACTGGACAAGAGACAGATGTTATAGCAGGTGCAAATTTGACTTGGAGTATTAAAACAGATCCAGATAAATACAAGTGACTTGACTGATGAGCTCACACAATACCTGTCCTTGTTAGTGTCACAGGGGTCGCCAATCAAATCATTGTCCGCATCCATCTGAGAAACATAAGTTGAGTTGAATTTCAGATATGAAATTTTCCAAAGAATAATAAGCAGACAATGGCAATGATAATCCCAGCTAGGAAAGACAATGTGGACTGAATAATACCACAGACACTGGCAGCTTTATTGGTTATTGTAAACATACACGGCAGACCCAGTGGCATTTTGATGCTTTTTATTAATGCTTGACGGTTGCTGCACATTCGCACTCAGAGCTGCAGCTCTCCCGCTGCCAGCAAAAAACAACAACAACCACCACAGGACCCAGTACAATATTTAATTCGGCGGGGCGTGATTGCGGATGCCGTACAGGTGCGCCCGCCTCCTCTGCACGGCACCGCAGGCCACGCCCCGCCACAGTTATTTTAGGGTGTTTCAAATAAAATGCACCATGAGTGTGATGCTACATCCTGGAGTACACACTATACCAAATTACTGTTGCAGACTAACAAGTTAAGCCACTAGAGGTCATTAAAAGCAAGATTTTCTACTTAAGATTAACTGCTTAACTTCTCGTGCCTTTTTGCAAGATATTGATGTAACGTGTGAAGACATTTCTCACCTGGTCAGGGTTGGGATCATAGGGACAACTGTCGCAGGCATCTCCGACTTTGTCACCGTCTCGATCTTTCTGGTCAGCATTTGGGACCCTTTTGCAGTTGTCAAGGTGATTGGGAATTCCTGGGGTTAACATTGGGAATGTTAGAAAATATTATAGTAACATGAAGACAGGCACATAGCTTTAATGTGTTGTCAGTGATGGACAGCAGTTTGTTCACTGTCCTCTTGTCCACCATTGACTCAGATGTCTCCAGATTCTGGCCTGTGATGGTTCCAGCCTTGTGGATTAATTTGTTGACCCTGCTGGCATCTCTAATGCTCATGATTACTTAGTCTGGTTGGTCAGACCATACTCATTCTCAACTACACACCTGTAGCACTACCATGCTGATAAAGTATGTTTAAAGGAAACCAAATCCACCTACCAACACGAAGACATTTCCACACATTTGACTATGACAGACCCATTAAATAAATAAATACAAAATCTTTGTCTGACCCATTATCGTAATCTTAACCATCCCGTCTACATGCATAACCATAAATTAAAACCTCATTCTAATTTTAAACCTAAAGAAAATCTCAACCAAGCCTTTACAGGAGTGTGTGTGGCTCACAGGTCCTCATTTTCCAAAATGTCACCAATCTAATTGTCTAAAGTTCAAAATAGTTCTCACTAAGATGGTTAAACAAGTGCATGTGCATACACACACACACACACACACTCTGTCATAACATGAAAATGATTCCAGTTGATAGGTTGTAAAAATCTCAGTATGTATCAAATTCACATTCAAATCACATCTCAAATTAAAGGCATATCAATACATGTCAGTGTTTCTAATTAACAGCCAGAGTAAATAGGTCTTATAATTAATATAGATTTAAAATCGATTTGCACAAAGTCTTTACCATCGCCATCGATATCCTCATCGCATTCATCTCCATATTTGTCCACGTCTGTGTCTTTCTGGTCATTGTTTTTGACGGCAGGACAGTTGTCGCAGGCATCGCCAAAGTCATCCTCATCGATGTTCCTCTGGTCCACATTGGGCACCAACACACAGTTATCCTGGGAAAAAGATGTTTTAGTCCCTGAGAGCAAAGTTACATGATTTTACTATATTTTCTTTCAACCTCAGTATCCTTTGTGTATGAACCTGTGTATTTAAGATCCCATCCCCATCTGCGTCTTCATCGCAGGCATCTCCAATTCCATCACTGTCAGCATCTTCTTGACCAGAGTTTGGAACAGTGAGACAGTTATCCTGGAAGAAACATAAGCAGATGGGTAAGTTTTAATTAATACTTTTGTTTTGTATAAAGTGATAAAGATCTTCTTTGATCTGGGATTGAGGTTTGAATTTAAAGTATGACAACATCTTCTTTTATGTCACATTTTTATAAGATCTTTGATCTTCTTCACAGCTAAATAAACTGTTTTTATATGGCTAACTTTCAGAGAGTTCTCTTAGATATGAAGGAGATTTACCTTGTTGCAGTTACTATCAGGACAGTCCAGTTTTTCATCTGGGAAACCATCAATGTCGGTGTCAGGACCACACACGTAGCCATTGCCAGCCCATCCGACTCCACACTATAAGGATGGAAAATGTTTTAGAAGCTGTACATAATGCTTTTATTGGCTCTGTTTTGTGGTCTGCACAACATGAGCATAAGTGCTCAAACAGCTATTTCCCAATAGCTGCTATTATTGTTATAACATGATGAGGAAGGAATGTTGTAATAGCTTTGATAACCCATCAAAGCTAAAT